TAGATTTTCAAATAATAGAAATGGACTTAAGTTGCAATATACTCCAACATTAAACACTCGATTCAGCAACAGCAAAATTTAACGGATTTGAAATCATTTATTCTAAGTTATTGCCACACCCTATTCTTACGTAAGACATTCCATATCAATACGTAATCGAATATTTCACGACTAATCCATACCTTCAAGAATTGGAAGATAAATAAATAAATAAATACATTATAATTGTTTTACCACAGTTAAATGCATGGCATTATGATTAACTATATATGCGAAATTCATGTTTATAATTTAAAAATTTTGAAGAAAAGTCCGCGCAACGCACGGGCAGACAAACTAGCTTGATAAGCAATCGTGAAGTCGTCCACTTGTTTCCCAGTGAATTGCGCACCAAATTTACAAATCGAATAAAGTCTATGATTGGTGGTGGGGTACCGCATTCGATGACCAAGTTGCATCTAGAAAAAATCAACAAGATTATTCAATTCAAAAGCCAACAAATTTGGAAAAAAAAAAAAGAAGAAAGCAATTGCGGATGAAGCACGCCGCCCCTTCCCTTTCAATCCCCATTAATTTCGGTCAATTTCATCTTTTCGTAAAATATATTATACGAAATAGAGCCGTTGAATTTGATAGGGACGGCCCCGAATGGACAAATTCACGCACCCAAACTCGGGTCAATCGGGCCGACTTCGAAGAAAAATCATCAGCCGAGGATACTATTTTGAAGTGGACTCCAACCCCGCATCTTTTTGCCTTTTCTACGTCTAGCTTGCGAGCTTTTGTTCTCGCGAAGGCATCTCTTGTCGTGCCTCCACCAAACACCGGCGGCAGTTCATATTGTCTTTTTATAAGGAAAAAAGCAAAGTCTTGCACGGCATAGATACGATAAGAAGCCGGTTCTGACTGTCCATTTCTCACTCTTCCAAAGAAAAACCCTTAAAAACATAAATGGAATACGACTTTTTTGCGTGCGATAAGATGGAAACCTAAGAGCGAATCATCTGGTGTGACCCTCGATTTATTAACGGGATGAAGCTAAGCATGAGAACACTATTTCGTAAACTCGGGATACTAAGTAAATATAACATATTTTGATTAGGGTTGGATTCGTGGCATCGCATCACCGAATTAATTAATTTCGCGTGTCAGTTAATTATACCCAAAATTATTCGAAAATCAATAACTTCTTTTTAAGGGGGAAATCAGGAGCAAAAGGGGTTCTCAAAAACAGTGCCTTCCTCCTTTTAATTTCCCTTCTCGCAATCAATTCGAGAGCAAATTCTCTCTTTTGGGCCATGCCTATGCAATCAAAATCAAAGGACATCACTAACCAAGTTGATTGATTTACAAAAGAAAAAAAGAAGCTGTAAATAAAAAAGAGAAAGGAGAGAGCTTTATCGAAAGGACCAGCTTGTCGCATTGCGCAGCATCTTCAATGTCGAAAGAAAATGCCTTATCATCATCAAGAAAAAGGAGATGCCATTCCCACATAGCACATTGGAAAGGCTCCTGGTTTATCCAACATTTGTTGCCAAGCTTTCATATGGAATTTATTCTCGTAAGAAGGCCGCCCGCTTTTCCTTCCTTTTGACATTTTCATTTCGCGGCACATTCCGTAGATGACTTGCTTCCAATCACCGTCCATGTCGAGGGTCGACGTCTTTAACCATATCGCAAAAATTGGAAAGAAAAAACCAAAAGAAAATTTTAATAAAGGCTCGTCTTGACTTTTGCTTGTAGCGCGCGCATTGTTAGTCAATTGCCAAATTAAACCACTGGAGTTTGCCCCGGTGATCACCATTCTTACTTGGCAAGGGAGAGATGGGAAGTTCGAATCCCCACCTTATCAGGAGGAGTTACGGGTGGGGACGTATAGTTTCAGATGTGAATTTCGACTCCCACGCCCTGCAAGAGACAGGATAAAAGTCTGAGAGTGAATTGAGAATTAGAGTAGGACAAATAAAAAAAAATCGCCAAATTCCTTAAATTTCTAATTTTATAAACTTAAGGACCATCCCAGAAACTACAACTCTCCGGCCAAGAAACTTACCCTGCTTTGTTGCGTAGGGTTAATCGATCTTTAGATTCCTTAAAAAAAAATTCGAAAATTTAATTCCATAATGTCATCAAATTACCTTATGAAACTAAAAAGTACAGGGTCATGTTAGAATATCTCTCCTGTAGAGATACATTTAATGTGATCCTCTTTGTTACAGTCATCAAGTTCTAGAACCCTAATACCAATGAGGTGATATTGAGTCCGGTGACAATTAATGATCAACTCGATCTTTGAAAAGTCGTAATTAAGGTTTTGTGTCTTCCAATGCTCTCTCGATGAAAGATACACTGAATCAAATTCAAGTTAAATAAGGTGATTGTGGTCCTTAATCTAGCCAATAAATATGGAAGTGAGCTCCATCGACTTAAGGTGTTCCCCGAAATTCCCGCGACGTACCGTTATTTTTGTGTTGAATATCTTTCGTAAATAATCAATGTGTGTATCGTTATTTTTTTCCTCCATAATGCCAAATTAGCAAAATTTCATTAACTTGAATTAATGAAAAAATAATACCGAATAGTTTCATAAGATGCAAGGACTGCATTAAATATTTATCAAAAATTTTGGTGATCAAACTGAACAAATTAAAACTTTCGAGATGAATTCTGCGCATCGAATTAAAATTCACGCAACGCTTAGTTCGAAGAGGGAATTTGTACGAAACGCCGAGGGCATTTTAGGAATTTCAGGACTTGGCAAAAGAAGGAAATTGCTGGTGCGAATCCGGGACGGTAGCGTCAAAACACATGGCCGACAGCTCATGGTCCGGTCCGGAGCTCATTATCAAGTGGTCCCACGTGGGCCCCCCCACCCTCTGCGTGTCCATCACGTTCTGATTCGACCGGGGCCAGCATCCGTGGGTCCCCCACCCGCACCTGGGCCCCCCACCCCAATAAAGCAGCAACGCCACGCCCGTACGCGATTATTGTTCTGCGCCCCAAGCTGTTCCCGCTTTTTAGTATTTTGTCAAAGGAGGGAAGGGAGGGGTTCGCTTGTTTTACTTATTATTATATTCAGCGAAAGTCTCCAACTTTAGAAAGGTCCAAAAATAAAGGGGTCGACATGCGTCGGTCGCGAAAATTTAAATTGAGTCAAAAGGCTGAAATGTTAAGAACATGTCCAAATTGAGATCCGGCTTTTCTTTATCGACATTAATTGGTTAATTAGATTCCGTCGCATATATTAATATTATGACCTAGTTCTTTTCTCCCGATATTATTCGAATTCTAAAGTCGATCAGATATTCGAATCAAAAGAAAAAGTCGATTGGAGTCTCTTCGTATCGTGTTTCTGAAGTCAAAAGTTTGTACTGATCCACATGGATTAAATAAAAGTTGAGCCAGAGATAAATTGAATTGATTGATATTGTCACTTCAAAATTAATTGGGCTCGAGTTTATCTCTTATCTAATGTGTTGTGAAATAACGTGGAAACTACCAACGTTATAATCAATCGAAATAAGATGAATTGATTGGAGAAATCAATAAGCAAACGAAAAGGATATCGGAGATTTTATGTAATATGATTCGAGTAACGGTATTTACATCGGGGGTAGAATCATCAGCTAATAAACCCACTATGAATTCGGAGAATTACAATTACAATGGCTCGAGTGTTTCGCAGACTAGATTAGATTACAATCTCTTAAAGAGAACTCACTCGAGAAACTTTATAGAAAACCCTCGCACTTCTTTTGTTTGTTCTCTAGAGTAACTTGCGAAAATGGATTAGCAATGAGTTTTGAATTTCGAGTTTACCTAGATCGGTTCTCCTAGGCGTTCGGTACATGGGCAAAATTGAGAGCCCATCTCAACTAATCATGGAAGATTGAACTGGAAACATGTACTCCCGAACAATTAAAATGCAAGAGATCTCTACCGTTCAACATATTTCAGTTCGGACGATTACGATTTTTTGCTTATCAAGCCGATAGTGAAAAATTTATGGAGGCACAACATCCATGAGGGACCATAGACTCCTCGAAAATTAAGGTGCGCTCACCCCTCATGAATCCTACATTAAGTATGATGGTCTCACCATCGTTTAAATTCAAGATGAACTCATTTGTGAATATAATAGTGTATTTTTTTTTATTATGAAAGGGGCTAAAGCCAAATAAAAAAATTTAACATTGTAAATTTATTATCCCTATTTTATCACCTAATAAAACATGAAGTAACAACGGAAAAAAACTAGTATCCAAGCATTTATCGATTTCAAGATCAATAAGCCGATCAGCAGAGCGATTTCCTTCTCGAAAATTATATTGCACTTTAAACTCAAAATCAGAGCACATCAATCTTCTTATATTTTTAAGCAGAGCAAGGCCAATATCATCAACCATAAGCTCTAGCCTAATAAAATCAGTGATAGCTCTAGAGCCAATCTCTTCATCAAATTGTTTTAGGAAGTTAATTCCCAACCACGAAGCTCAAAGTTCTACTTATGTCGACGTTAAGTGGATCGAGCACTTCTCCGATTCTGGTAAGATGGGATCCTCCACCTTCCAGATGGTTAAACTGAATACTAACTTGCTGGCGCATGGGGATTACTTAGAAATGAAGGGGCTGACTTATTATAATTTTTTATTTGCTTAGCGACATAGAATAAGGTGATGAACTAATATTATCAGAACTGTTGCGTTTGGGTACAAGTTTGTACAATTTCAACTTCCATGCTTTCCAACAACAAAGGTAAAATATCCAACGGATGAAAAAGGAAATATACGAATGTTGTCGTATACAACACTTTCGGCAACAAATCTAAGTAACTGCCCATAAATGTCTCATCGTCCATCGTAGGTATTGAATAGAGTCAATTTTAGGAGCCCCTTCGTTTCGCGGAAATGATAACACCGTCGAAATATTAATTTATCCAAAAATAAATGTAAAAGATTTCCCACTTGCCGTGGGGGGTTAAAACTGTAAGAAATTTCCAATTTTCCACCATGAAAATGATGCTTCTAATTGCTGTTTCACATTTAAACTTGGCTAAACAAATTTCAATCATCTCTTTGTGCATTCACAGTTCATTGTCTTCTAATCTAGAGTTTCCCAACAGCTTCCTCCCTAACACTAAGTCTTAATCCACGGCAGAGTGCACAAAACGAAAGAAACAAATTTTTTTCCCTTCACTTTGCAGCAACCCCCCCACCCCACTTCCGCTACTTTTTTTTTTTCCACTTCCACCCCCGCTCGGAACAGCCTGCTTTGCAAATTGGACCCCTACATGAAGAGCTCGGACTGCAACAGGGTGTAGTAATTGGCGGCCTCGTCTTCCAGCTCCCAGAGGCCGTCGTAAGACAAGAACTCCACGCCGCCCGTTCCCGCTTCCGCCCCTTCGTCCTCCCTGCTGGGCAGGCCGAGCTCGTCGTCGGAGGCCACGAGCAGGTGTCTGAACACCTTCTCCTTGTCCTCGTCGCCGTCGCTCTCCTCCTCCGGGGAGGAGGAGGAGGAGGAAGGCGACGCGAGCTCCGGCTCGGAGGGGAGGCCGGGGTCGGACTCGGAGGAGGCGAGCTCGTCCTGGAGGGCGGAGATGAGGGAGGACAGGTCCTGGCTGGAGATCTGGCCGTCGTCCAGCTGGTCGTCGAGGAAGGAGAGGATGCTGGGGCACGACGGCGGCGGCGGCGGCGGCGGCGGCGGCAGCTTGAGGCGCTTCGCTTGGTCTTCCGCTTGACCGTCGACGTGGGTCTCCTCCGCTTCTTCTCTTTGGCGCTTCAGCGGCGTGTCCGCCATGGTTTCGCTTCAAGGTTTGTTCTAGAGAGAGAGAGAGAAAGATGGAGGATGAGGAGTGCACGAGGGGGGGGAGGTAGGCTAGGGTTAAGGACGAGGAGAGAGAGTAGGGGTTTCAGAGGGTTATATAGAGGGAGAAACTGAAGTGTTGGAGGGAGGGGGTTGCGGTCAAAACGGGGGGTTCGAAGAAAACAAACACGAAAAGGGCCCAAAAAAAATCGATTAAATTAAAACTATGTAAAATTTATTTTAATGAAAGTTAGAAATTGTTCTGGTGTTGCAGGGGTCGTGCCGGGGAAAGGGAAAACAGGGAGGGTCAGAATTGGGATTTCACGGCCGGGGCCGCATGAGGCGGTCCGCCCTTTTCGTTGCGGACCGTTGGATTCGGCTTTTGTGGGAGATTGCGTTCGTGATCGAGCGGATCGCGGCCGAAGGGGTTGAACGCATCCGGTGGAATTCAACACCCGAGGAGATGTATAGGTACCGAGGTCTTTACATTGTTGTGGACCAAATCCGGTTGATCTTGTGAATTCCACGTAATTGACGGCTTAGATTAATCATGTTCGCATGATCTACGACCCGTACCATAAAGAAAATCAACAAGGTTTTATCGAAATTCATGAGATTGGATATGAAATCATAATCTCAAATATCTTGAGAAAGCGGTCCACCCTAAGAGTCTCGAGATGGCCATGGGGGATTCCGAGATGGCCAATAGTAACGATCCTTATTAGGCACGGCTCAGCAATGTGACTGGCAAGCTTTTTCCTGAAGGTTCTTTATGAAATGATTTATCGAGACGTCAAGAGAAAGATTGTAACGGGACATTCAACGAGGAACATGCCATCACTCTCGAACTTAGACAGAGAAGCATACGGAGCCCCTCGCATCGAATTATAAAAATCCCTGACATCTTCTTCTCTCGCGAAATACACGACTCCGCCATGTGCACACTTGGATGACGGAGGAATGCATCTTGACTAAACATTATTCGTAGGCAAAGTGGAGCCTAAGTAATCTCCGAACCAACTATTTAATTCCCCCCCGTCGCATTCAAATGATGCAATCCGACAGATCGATCGGGTCCTGTCCTTCCCTACTCCGCAACTAATACCTATACAAATTTGATGAATCACTCCGGCGTCGACCCACCCATGCTTTTCCCATAATTACTCCCACTTCCTTGATTGATCGATTGATTGATTGATTAGGGGGTCCCATAATCGGGAGATTAACAGAATGTCGCAACGGACGGCCACGATCGCTCCGATGACGTGGAGGGGGGGGAAAGAGAGAGAAAACGAAAAAGGTGGGAGGCGTGACGAAGGATCAAGATCTAGAAGGAAGGAAGGAAAGAGGTGGTGGAGAGATCTAGTTGGAGATATTGTCTTGTTTTTAATGGCAAAAGCCATCGACTGCCACACCACGACCCTACAGGTACAGTCTCTCTATACGTGTCCCATCGAGCGCGACCTTTTCCTTTTCTTTTTTATTTTAATTCGAATTTGGAAATTTCTTTTGGCTCTTCGAACGTGGATGTTATCAAAATTGTACCTAACTTCTCCTGCTACGGAAAATAATAATAATAATAATAATTGACGCGATGCGGTCCAACCGCATTGTCTCCGCCTTTTGTCGGGCGAGTTCTCCAGACGTGGAATTTTTCATGGGGTCCAACATAGTATGATTAGGAATTATATGTTGGTCCTTATTTTCACGTTCTGCCCCCAATCTATACAAGAATCTATCTTTCCTCTATGCTTTATTGGTCCCCCCCCCCCCCCGCCCCCCCCAAAATTTTTCTTTTTTTTTCTTTTATAACGAATAGAAAGCGAAGTATTGGCTCGCGCTATTTCGACGTTTTGGATAGTTATAATACGCCATAACTTATTGAGCTTACGAAAATAACCTTGATATTACTGATTTGATTTAAGATCACTAGTGGAAGGTGTGAAAGTTGTTATTTAATTTTTTTGGTCAAAGTAACATTTCATTCATTTTCGTGTAAATACCAGAAAAAACATCACAGTCCAAATGCAAATCAAGGCAAATTTCTGACAATTTCGATACAAGAAAATGTCTAAATAACAAGACGAATCATCAAAATAAGATTAGGGGTCACCCGATCAAAGAGCAAATCTGTGACTTATTTAAACCAAAATCAACGGCCGATCATCAAATCCTTCTTCAGTAACGAGCACAAACCAAGATCTCCATATGTTACTACGGGTTTAGACTCCAGAGTAACAATGTTGAATGAGCACGTATCTGATACATGTGAAGCCACTCCAATCTCCTTTGAAACTAGACTCGTACACCAACGAAACTCGAGAAAAGCAAACCCCGAAACCATATACACTAAAACCTCCAAATCTAGACTAGATCGGGATAGAAACCTCCCCAAAACATGAGAGAAAAAAGCTTTCAAATATAGACTAAATTAGAAGAGAAAAGCTCTACAAAACCAGATTAGCCAAAAAAAAATAAGAAAAGGGAGTGATCTAACTCAAACCCTCCCCTCATCTTTGGAATGAGTTTGAATCTTGTTGGTAGTTTTTTTTTTTTTTTTGATAACCCAGGGAATTCCCGCACGGCCGACAGCCGGGAGGTAAACCCTAGGGGCGACACGTGCTAGCCACCACACACGTGCACCGGTTAAGTCACCCTGCGGCACCCGGGATTCGAACACTCAACCTTTTGCGAGAGGAAGAGTGCGCGCTCCAGCAGCGCCACCCAGGCGGGTGGTAAATCTTGTTGGTAGTTTTTTGTTACTTAACATATGCAAAGTCTAAATTATAACCGGAAAGAGTTCAGAACTTTAATCAAAGAATTCCATTCAAAACAGAATTTGAACTAAAGAATTGTATACGACAACAAATTATTAGAAGTTGAACTTTAGGAAGAGATTGTAAATAAATGCTCCAAACATCATAGCTTTATCAATATTCTTTTAAAATAGAATTACAATCATTAAATTTGCTAAAATTACTCAAATTTTAGAGGATTACCTTAAGGAACCATGAATTTGTAAATTTCTCCGATTTGAATACAAAAGAAGATGAAACAACGATTAAGGAAAGTGTATAAAAATCACGTGATCGATTGATCCACGTTAAAAGTATGTTTTTTTTCTCTTTTGTCAATATACAATATCCCCGTAAGGGTTATTTTAGATCAGTTAATTTTAGAGTGTGTCTAAAACTATAAAAGGGTGGAAATAGCACGAGCGAAATTATATCGCATTTACGAATACTTCACGGATATCTTTTTAATAAGAAGAATACGTGAGTTAGAATTTAAATAGGTGATATAAATATGAAATTGTTCAAAACAACGGTATGATGAATTGAATCTCCTTTAATCTGCACAGTTATTAGTTTTTTAAAATTTCAAACCGTTATTGGTCATCAAGTATACATGTGTACTAACATGTGCCGGGACATTCTATGTCTGACTTTTAACTAATAAGTGACACGTGCATGTTATGGTTATTTTTGTGTGTGAGAACTTTTATGTTGCCGACCTTCAAACATCACTTGAGCGTGCGACATTGAGGCCACATACGACCTTAATCCCGAATGACATGAGGTCGATAAGATATTTTCTTTTGACGGGCTATACTTTAAATGGGTTAACACCATGAAAAATTCAAAATTAATAAAATTATGATAAATTTATTTCAAATTAATTTTTTGACCACCAACAATCCCATAACGGATACATTTGTGATAAATTTACCTTCCGTTAGTTTTCGTTAAATTGAATTAATACTACAAAAATCTCGAACTTATACATGTGACAAATGGAGAGTAAAATCCTAAATTGGTACACTCGTCAACTATTACTTATCATTTAACTTAGCAATTCGACAGTAAAATTTAACGGAAACTAACCAATGATAAATTTGTTATAGGTATACCGGTTTGGAGTCTTTAGGATAAATTTGTCACAGATATATCAATTTGGGATTTTTTGTGATATTAACCATGCTTTATGTACACTTCACATGTATCTTTCAAGTTTGTGAACCATTGTTGAACCTGTTCCCATTTTATCACTTGTCAAAGCAAAAAGAAGATGGGTCTTCAATTGGGGTTGGTCGCCGATCTAGCTCTCAGAAAGAGTTTAAAGAGAACGGGGATGGGCCAAAGTCACTCGTCAACAAGAGATAATTTGGAAGATTTATCTATATGCGGACTTCTTTGATCGCAAATCAAAGCAAAAATAAATCTTCTCGTTCTTGCACGGGTTTGTAGATCGTAGATAATGGACAGTACTCTAACGGTATGTCCCTCTAAAGTTTGATACTCCAAATGTTGTCTACAGACAACAAGAACCGTTGTATCATTATTTATAGCTCGAGTTGAAAAAGAAAATAATGCTACATAAACAAAGCGACTACAAAAAGATTAGGTGTCCAAAATTTCGTGTCTTTGATGGGACAATAATTAGTTAGTGTTGGAGATGACATGAAATAGATTTCCTTTGTTCCCTCAAATATTATATCAATTAAGGACATGTTTATAGTGCAATTCCAAGTCAAGTCACGGAAAGATTCCTCCTTTTAAGACCAGAAAACAATAATTTGTCAAGTCCGAAGGAGACTAGACCCCAAATAGCTGCAACAATTGTGGTGCCGACGTTAGGTTTTGTGCTTTTAAAGTTGGAAAGGAGCATGACATTTTATATGTTGATGTTGCAATTTTGACATTGGATGATTTTTTTTTAGATAATTAATAAAAGCAGGCCAACATTTGTTCAATATATAATATTTTCTCCAATATCGTGAGTAACAAATAATATAGAGTTGTACAAGCCTCGAACCTCGGATTCTATGTAAAAAGAGAAACTTCACGAAAAGCTAATTTAATTCGTGGGCGTGATCATTCAAAAGCACCCATTGCATAGACCGACGAGAAAAAGTTAAGCGCGCATAAGATAAAAAAGCACACGAGGCCACCCTCGGTTGGCGAATCGGGCCAACATGACCGACCAATCGATCGATCGTTGCGAAATTCGGGCGCCCGGATTTCGAGAAATTTAGTGACTTAAAAGTACTTATTTTATAAGAAAAATTATTGGTTCGTCGCGAAAGCCGAGTA